CAATTCTGAAAATCACTGGTCCTGCAGGTAACCTAACATCAGCATGCTACTTCTTGAAAACTAAGAAAATAAAGTCGGTTGTGGGTACGACTTAAACTCACTCACCACACAGAGGTCTCTGCCCTAGCTGAGGCATTTTTAGGTGGTCCATCAGCTGTTAAAAAAAGTTAAAACCTCTGCCAGTACTGTCTAAATTATTTTGATGCACAGACAGCGGGTATATTCCACATACTGAACTTGACAGTGTATCAGTGTTGTGCAGTTTAGACCCCCATATAATTCATTTTCACCAGAAAATGAGTACCTGTTATTGCACTTGCCCACACAACTAGTCAGAGTAACAACTCATTAATACACAGGCCTGGCAAGATAAAACCAGAAAAGTGCAAAGAGTGCATAGACATGAGACAATTTAATCAGAACATGGGTTTTGATTTTAAAAAGTATCTTCATTCAGAACTGGTTGAGTAAAACGAAATAGGCTTAACCATGTGGTTAAAATGTTGTCCTGAATAAAAGGAGAGGCTTTCAATATAAAAGCATCCAAAAAGCGCTAAGCAGCATTTGATGCTGATGTGTGCTGTAGGAACGAAGCAGCAGTTCTTCCTCTGAGGCTGTATACACTAACTGCCACGAGTTAGTAATGGACAATGAAGTACAAGAAACCAATTCTCAGACTCAAGTTTGACGAAGACTGACAAAAAGCAAAGCAAACTTCCCTTCAACGGAAACTCGATGTGCAGTACTCTGAGTCCTCTATTGAAATAGCACGCACCTGAGATGGGCCGTCAGGAAATGCCCAGAAAAGTGTCAATCTCAAGAAACGTGGATATCCCACCCCACCTCTCCAGCAAAAAAAAAAAAGTGTGGGGAGGAAAAAAGTACTGGCTCTGGGGGTTCAATTTTGCCTCCAGTGGTACTATGCCCACTAGTCTAAGTGGTTGCAGAATCAGTGCCAGAACAGAGAGAACTTGCTGCTCTCAGCAAGGCAACTAAAACACCCAGTGAGACAACACAACAGATATAAAAAATACTACAGGGAGGGGAATGAAGAGTGAGGCAATGACAAAAAATGTTAGATGTATTTCTAAAAATATATTTTAAAGGAGGAGAAAGACCAAAAAGCCACATAAAGGAGTTATCAGAACTAACAGGAGATTGAGAAAGCACCGGGAAACTGAACATCACCAAATCATACAAAAAATAATCTAAGTAAATATTCTGTATCCCCATCAAGTGATAATCTTTACCAATAAGCATCATTAGCTTTAAAACAGGTTCCCTGTAAGAAGCCTGCTGCAAAGTCTGATTAAGTACGTTGTATACATTTGCAGAACACACTACCATTTAGTAATATTCTTAAAACATTATGGGAAATCAGAAAAAAAAAACTTATCAGGAGAGAATTGGCTTGAAAAAGCAGTTACTATTTGGGCATTCTAGTGACCTATCCATAAAGTTGGAATCCAGTTTCATCACTGTCACAGACTACCCTGTGATTCCACAACAAATCCAGACAATCTTAAATTGAGGGCTGGCACGTGTCTATGCCTTGATGCCAAAGATGCTTTTCTTGCATGCACAGAAAACCTGCATCAGGTTGCCCGGGCACGGGGTTGTTCCCAACCTTTCCCTGGGCGAGCAGGTAGTATCAGCCTGCCTTGAGTTCCCCAGTCACCGGCCCGCAGACGGTGTGAAGGCGGCTCCCAAATCACAGCCAGATGTGCTATGGATGTAGCCACAGAGCTGCGGTGGCTCCGAGGATGGTGGGCAACCTGGGGTTGATATCGGCAAGTCGCCCACAGAGCCAGGTCTTTGAACAAGACTGCTTCTTCCCAGTAAGGTCGCCTCACCCTTCCCAGGAAATCCATGACAGCTTTGTAGCTCTCCACCACACGAAGGTTTTGACGAACAGTTTCTGAGCCAGGACAACCGGCTGCCCCGCTTCACGCACAGCTGTGCAGACCTCCCCCTTCTCGGTGCCCTCCCCCCCAGCTAATGGGTAACACAATGCCAACAAGTCTTGACATTAATTGCAGCTGCAGGTCGGCTCTGCTGCAGTTCAGGTGGGAAAGCAAAGCACAACACTGCTCAAACAAGGTTGCTTCTGGTTCCAAACCTGCACAGGCCCACAGCCTGACCTTGCCACATTTTAGAATAGAGGAGTTTAAAACTCGAGTTGCCTACAATGCAGGGGAAACTATAAAAAGAACATCTGCTTTTCAAATATTAATACTTTCCTCAATAAACAATGACAGTGAATTAAAAATTGAACTTAACAGAAAAACTGACTTTCCCATGAACTAGGGAATATGCTTTGTTCTTAGCCTACAGCAGTCTATTCATTTCTCTGCTCCCCTGACCTTTCCATTTTGAAAACTTTTGGACCACTCTGAGATAACATCTATAGGTACTTTTTTAGGCTAAGGTATCACTATGGGATGCAAATCAAAAGGAAAAGGGCCACGGGATATATATTTGAAAGATTCGTCATTTTTTTAAACAAAGACTTACATTTTAAATTATGTTTCTTATTAATCTAGAATTACTGCCATCTGATGAATTATTACCTCCAGCTTTCTCAGACAAGTTACAGATGCAATTCAAGTCCACGACACCTTCACGGTAAAGAAATCTAGTTAAAGTGAGTTTCAACTACATGAGCAGAGCCCACCCAGATAGATTACTGCAGGGCTTACTGTGACTATTTTTAAGGTGGGAAATCAGCACCCCTAAAGTTTGTTTTCTCTTCTCCTGCTCCCCTACCTTCTAGCTTCCTGAATTGCACCTTCCGCATACAAACACAGGCTTCCATATGCAGCACTTTGTCCCAATTGTCTCACATTTCAGACGACGGCTTGGAGAGTTTCTTGTTCTTTTATCAGCTGGATGAATTTTAGATGGCAATTGTGGCAGCTTATGAAATCAAATTGGGGGATTAATAATGCATTGCCTTCCATGACAACGGCACAGCCCCGCACACCTCTAGCTGTCATTACGTGAGTCACTCCGTGCTCACTGCTCCACACAGCAGCAGATGGGAGGAAGAAATTATGCAGTGCACTGAGGGCTTTTGAAAGCTGCTCTCATTTTTAGGAAACTTGTGCTATTGAGTATAGCGGTTTACATAACAGACTCCCTAACCTATGTAAAGTCCTTTTGTCGTCACTGGGGCTTTAGGCAGGCAAAGACATTTTGACATCTCTGATGGGACTGCAGTGTGTTAAACTCAAAAACAAAACCCCAAGCCCCAAACAACAAAAGCACCCCCAAATACTCATCACGAAGTCTTATAGAAGTCAAGACAGTACTAGGATTGACAATATGCAAATGCTGCAAAGAATACAAACACACATAGCTATCTTCTAGCCCAGAAATATGTAGGACAATTCCTCAGATTTTGCAGATGCAGAAACAAAAGAAAACGTACACTCGTATCTGCCTTCTCCTATGAAATGCACAGAGATGAAAAAATTCAAAGACCACTGAATGTTGCTGTAGTTACCATTAATGTAACACAGTACAGAAGATGATTTTTTTCCAGTGAAGTTTTGTACTTTTGATAGTAATAAAGGCCAGACGCCCCCTTTTATCAAATACACAGCTATTTGAGTGCTCAGAGATATTTTCCAAACAAAGCTGCACAAATAGCTGCCAACTGTCACACTGTAACAAGGAATGTCATCCACCACTGGGGCTGGGAAAAAACACTGTAAAATAGCACACTCATCTACAGCAGAGCAGAACAGACATTCCTAATGTGAATACAGGGCTAGAAATTCTTGACTAACTCATTTCAGCTCTGCCACAGAACAACACCTCTGAATTTGGATTCACTCAGGAATTAAATGTGAAGTAAGTTAGAGTTGAACTGTTCTGCAATACAGCTAGTATCCTCTAACAAAAAAACAAAAATGTAGTAGTCAACCCAGATCACTAGTAAATGAAGGCTTATTTTCTCTTTAAAAAACCGGCCGTGAAGTGTGGGATCTAAAGCAGGTACATAAGAAGGATGATTGGCCTACAGAAAGCCTCAGAAGAAAGCTATTGGCATGTTTTTTACCAATTTAACATAGCTTAGCCACACAGGACTTCATAAACCTCAGTTGCAATAACTTAGTGTGACCTTTCATCACCTCGGACTGATGGTGAGCTGATGCTGTCCTGCTCATTCTTACGATACTCAGAAAGAATGCTGCTTTCACTGCTGGGCATCACCATCCTCGTCCCATGCTAGCAGTAAATTAAGGTGATTCCTTGTTGCCACAAGCAGAAAAATAGGGAGCTGAGATCAAAGGCTCTACTTTATTTACCCCAGCGTACAGCTGAGCGAGTTAGGAAAGTTAGCTTCCCACCCAGCACATTTGTGCCTCTAGCAACGTCGCCACACAGTGCTTTTCATCCAAAAGATGACAAAGCAGCACAGTATTGAAAGATGAGGCTGCTCAGGGGCCAAAATGACAGAAGGCCCACGTTCCGGTGTTCCTTCTGCAGTTTAGGCCAGCCTGCGTGGTAACAGGCCAGAGCAGCTTCTGTGCTTAAAGCCTAAAACGCACACAGCTCCCCAGCCAGCGGCGCGAGGGGACAAGCGGAGCGGGAAGTCTGTGAACCTTGTTTGAGCAGCACTGCCGGACAGACCTTCTGCTGGTCTGGACCGACATCCCCCTCGGAGGGCGGGCATGCCGGCGGGCAATGCCGGGGCGAGCTAAGGCCCGAGAGTTGCTGACACCTGAAGAGAAGTACGTTTCCTCCAGAACCGCGTTCATCGCTCCCCTCCGAGCTTCACCGGAGGAAGCAGGCAGCCCGTAAGCGGTGTGTCGGCCCGCCGTGCTCAGGCAGCTCTACCTCCAGGCCCGGCGCGGCGGGGGGAAGCAGCAGCTCTCTGCGGCCGCGCTCCCGCTCCTCCCCTCAGCCCGCCCGCCCCGCTCCCCCCTCAGGGGCCCGCTGCCCCCGCCGCCGTACCGGGGCCTCTCCGGAGGCCCAAAGGGGCCGGGACTCACCTTCCCATCGGCGCCGAAGGGGAGGGACTCCTCGTCCGGCGGCAGCGGCGCCTTGTCCCGCTGGGCGTCCGCCGCGCCGGGGGCGGCCGCGGCTGCGTGGGGCTGGTAGTCAGGGTAAGGGTTGGCGAAAGCCCGCTCCTCCATCTCCGCCTCGCCGCCCAGCTGCAGCTTCAGCCTCTTGGACATGCTCTCTCCCATCTCAGCCGCCCCCCCCCCCCCCCCCCCCGCCTCCACTTCCCGGCCCGCCTCCCCGCCCCGCACGGCAAGCCGGAGGGGACACACTCCGCCCCGCCGCAGCCCGGCTGGGGAAGGCGAAAAGGTGGAAGCTGCGACGCCGCGGTTCAGCCGGGCGTTCCCCTCTCCCCTCCGCTGCCCGGTTCCCTCCTCAGCCGGGGCGGGGAGGCATGGCACCGGCTGGCTGTCACCGCCGCAAAGCCCGCCCCGAGCTCCTCATCGCGTCCCCCGCCGCGGCGCCTCAGGCCCTGGGGCTGCCGCCGGCCGAGCGCCGGGCAGCGGAGCGGGGCTCCCGCCGGCTCCTCCCGCCCGTCCCCCCGCGGCGGGGACGAGCCGCCGCCCGGCGCATCTCAGAGCAGCGGCAGCAGCAGCAGGAGGGGGAAGGACAGCCCCAGGAGCAGGCAGTACGCCACCAGCTCCCTCGCCCGCCGCAGCCGCAGCCCGGCCGCGCTCATCCGCCGACAGCCCCCGCCGAGCCCCGGCGGCAGGGACGGAGGGAGGGAGGGAGGGAGGGAGGGAGGGAGGGAGGGAGGGAGGGAGGCGGCGGCCCCAACGCCCGCCCTGAGGGGAGGGAGGCGGCGGCGGCCGCCCCTCCGCCGGCTGAGGGGAGGCAGCTCCGCGGGGGGGGGGGGGGGGGGTGGCTTCCTTCCCCTCAGTCCCGCCTTCGGGTCACCGTGGCGGCTCGTTGTGGCCCGCCCTGCCTGCTACAAACCCACAGCGTGTTAAAAAAAGAAGGAGAAAAAAAAAAAAAAACAAAAAAAACAAACCACCAAACATAGCAGCTCGTCGTCCCCCCACGCGTGGCTCCACGGGCGGAGCGTGGGGAAGGCTGGGTGCGAGGGGAAGCGGGGCGGGGATGGCATCCCGGCTCGGGAGGATCGGGGGGTTCCCTTTGGGATCCATTCCCGAGGCGGGGGTGGGTGCCGGGGCACCGGGGGGGCGGCCCGGTCGCGTCCGTGGGCGCCTTCCGTCTGAGGGCGGGAGAAGGGCTGCGAGGTGGAGCGGGTGCTGCGCGGCAAGCAAGGGTGAACCTTTCCCGTTCACAAGTAAACGGTGGGTGCTGCCGGAATCGGTGTAGCCCTCAGCAACTCGTACCCCACGCTGAAACATCCTCGTGTAGAAACAGGCTGCAAAAAACTTGCAATCCGGCCGAAAGCAGCACGCAGGCTTGTATTAAAATGCGGACACGGGAGGCCTCATTATGCCATTAAATATTTACTCCCAGCTATGCCGTCACTTTTTGCTAGTAACTGTCAGTCAGCCAGACTGTAGACTATTAATTCAAGATCTGGACGCTGTGCAGTCTTATTGATCTTCAGTTGTCTGTGTTAAGTAGTTTTATTGCTATCCAAATACATACTCAGTGTGTAAGATTAAATATAAGCGATGCTTCGCTTGTTTACAGTTGTTTGTAGCAATACGCATGTGAACAAACAGGACACGTCCATTATCTTGTGGCAGGATATACATTTCAGGCAATACTTATTTCATTTATTTTAGAAATCGAACAGATGACACAGCAAAAATTCCAAACAGCTTGTCTGACAAGAGGTACCTCATATGAAAATAACCATGCACTCAAAAATGACATAATCATCTATAAAATACCCTGTTCTATAATAATTTTAAAAAACCCTTTATGCATGATTTCCTCTTTGATGTAGAAGTCTTTTGTGCTGTGTTGTGGAGCCTGAAAGGGTAAAAGCAGAACCTTTTTCAAAAATCCTTTGTTTCTGTGTAGACATTTTGCCGTGCAGAAAATGTGTTTTCCTCTCAAATGATTTCCTTCCCTCAGCAAAGACCAGCTGTGTTGGTGCAAGTAACTACATCCCCATGAACAAAGACCGTAATTAAGCTTTTAATACAAATGTGTGCGGCTGCTGTTTTCTTACACCTTCTACACTCTTCAATCAAAACAGTGGGAAGAGAAAAGCAAGATCGTACCAACCAGTACATGCTCAAGGTCTACAGATGAGGAGTGAGGGTCCTCCCAGGCACCTTGCAAAAGTAGGTTCTTCTCTTCCTCTGGAGCAGTGGGTTGGGGAATGGTGGGTTTGCATCTCCTGCCCGTTGCCTCCTTGTCCTGTTTGGGTATTGGCACACGGCTGTGTTTTAACACCCCGTTGTGCCCATGGACCTGAGATTTCTGAGGCACTTCTCTCCATGCCCACCGTTCTTCGCATTCGTTGCAATGTGGTGTGTTTAGTCTCAAGCATACAAGGCACTCTTTTGTTCTTAGCAGGTGGATATAGCTCAAAAGAACTTTTAGGCTTCTCCTTTCACTCCTTTGCCTTTGATACACATGGAGCTCCCACAGCCTGAATGGGAATCATGGATAAAGGAAGAGGAAAAAGGTTGGGCTGAGTGAGGTGACAACCTTTAATATAAGTTTATAGCAAGAATTGATTCACATCTCTCCTCTAGCAGTATGGAGCAGGAGGCCTTGCCTACTGAAATCATGATTTCATGGATGCTTTCATCCACAATATGTCTAAATGCTACTGCAAGCAGTGAGACCTCATCCTTTCTTCCCACTCCAACTATGCACTCCTGTAACCTGCCTTCTGCAGTACTGGCAAACGCACAGCCCTGCAGCAAGCTGATCTAGCTGAAAGCTGTCCTTTTCCTTGCTGCCATGTAGGTGAAATCCAATGAATGTTTAACCAAGGCCCGATTCCTACTTAGGTGTCATTTTTTTCATGTAAACAATGAAAATTTTTGCTCAACAGATCATTGGGCTACTCATTCTTCACACAGGAGGAATTCATAAACACCTCTCTTTTAATTCTGGCTTTTCCTTCCCTCCCATCCTCTTTACATCCTGCAGTGTCTGATAGTGTGCTCCCAGTGGGACCAATGTCATTTTTTAAAATAATAAAATAAATTATCCGTTACTTTTTGGGCCAGGTCTAAATAATCAGAAACTGTGCGTAACCCCATTAATGACGCTGTGCTTTCCCATGTGTTTTGCTGTTTGATTCCCAGTATGCATAGTAAATTATCCTAGCTAACAAGGAGGGAAGGAGCGTGGTGTATCACAGAGCAAATCCTCCCAGGGCTAGCACACAGCTGCCCTTCACACTATACCCCACGAGAGCTACATCACGCTGCAACGTGATGCGGCTTGCAAAAGGACTGCAAGCAACTGTCAGGAGTCTCCGAAGCTCTAGCTGTGACGTGTTTAATTGTTCCTTCAGCAGCTGTGTCCATTCATATTACGGTATGATAGAGCTCATTTATTTTGGTGTGCAATGGCTCCAGATAAGTGCACGCCACAGCCCCATCCGTGTTTTGTTACGTGGGTGATGGGTATGTGACGTCGGCACCCATGGCAAAGCGCCTGGTAAATTCTGGGGAACCGATGTAGCAGCTGGCATTTATCTCATTTTATTTCTGAACATAGATCTGTGAGATTCAGCTGAAATTAACTGAGAGGAGGCAGAGCTTCAGGAGTGGACCCTGCTCATGTGATACGTAATGGAGAACTGCTTTCTTCAGTATTTACCTGTGGAAAACCAAGGTATGGCAATTTCTCAGCTGGCACAGCAAGTCAGTGGAGATGGGGCAGTTTATACCTGCTGCAAATCAAGGATCATACTTTTATTCAACATAAATGAAGTTTTTCATACTGACTTTTGCTTTTTCTCTCTCTGGTCCTTTCCTCTTTGGGCTGCACTTTGTCTGTGCTGCATCCTTTGTGCTCTGCAGCAAGCCTTTTTCTCCTCTAGCTCTACCGTAGACCTATAGACTTCCTAATTCCCTCTTCACCATTGCTTTCCCCTCCCCTTAGCCGTAATTCCTAATTTATTTTTTTCTTCACCACTGTCTAATATTATATTCTTCAACTAAATTCTTTAAAACTGTTTAGGCCTAATAAACTAGGAGGGTCTGCTTCTTGTAATAAAAGAGATAGTATGAAATAAAAATTGCAGGATCAGGTTTTTCATTTTAATTGCAGAAGACTTACAGGTTTTGGACCAAATTCAGTCCTGTGTTTCAGTTCAGCTTCAGGTGGAGTTTAACACAATGTAAGAATAAATGGGTTTGTGTCATATGTTATTATCATATTGCTTTTCAGTAGCAACAAATGTCTCTGGCTGCTGTAAATAATCTTGCTATTTAAGATCTCAGAGATTTCCGTGAATCTGAGAAGACACTTTGCTACTCAACCACCAAATAAATGTTTTAATAATAACTCCACCAACTATAGTTATTTTCTTATTTTCTGTTCTTATCTTTGGTCTTGTAGCAGAAAAAGCAGTGTCATCAAGTCTGTTGCACTTCTGTTTTGATGAGCTCATGCTAATAAATTAGAAACCTGAGCAGCAGCAGTTGTACTTCAGCCTGTTTTTAAAGAATGGATTTTTTCTGTTCCTTATCCCCTTAATCCCAGTGGTTTTTGATTTGCACATCCTGAGGAATACAACTAACAATGAAATCATGCAAAGATGGCTGTAAATGTTCTTATAGGTCTTTACTGTGTATGATGAAAATGGAACCAACTCACTATTATTAAAAAGTGCTCTTACTCATCATTGGCCTAGTGTTGGATTTTCAAAGGAGCTATTTCCAACCCTGACAAGGTTTGTAAACACAGGGAAAGAAAAGTTCAGTTAGTAGAAAACAAATGTAATCCTTCCACAGGCAAGGAGCAGGAGGAACAGAGGTGGGAGATGGGTACTTTTAGGATACCTGTGGCTTGGCCAGTATCTATAAAAAGGAGCAACAAAACAAGTGTTGGTCGAGAGGATTCCCTTTGCCTAAGGAAGCTGCTGTAAGCCGGATGTTCAAATTTGACCTTAACTCTGCTACATCTTATTTTCTTATTTCTTCTGATGTCCTTTGAATGACACGTCAGTGTGGCTTAAAAATCAGCCCTAGTCACTACCCTGAGGTAAGGATAGGCAAAAGACCGAGGCCCAGGGTTCACCAGAAGTGATGGGCATGGTGCTGCCATACACTGAATGATCTCAGTCCTGTTCGTTCAAGATTTGATTAAAGAGGTTTGCGTTCTTCAAAATGTGCTCACAATTTCACAGGGTTGGGTTCTATCTTCAGTCGTTTTCGCTACATCAGGACAGAGCGAGATAACGTTCTTTTGAGGGGACTAAACACGCAAAACACAGGCACCTTTGAGGAAAGTAGCTTTATAACTTTTGCAGGATAAGAACGAACTACAACAGTGCAAGAAAGGAGAAGAGAAACAAGGGGAAACAAGGGAGTGTGGGGAAGACCAGACAAAGATAAAACCATCAAAGACTGGTGAAGTGCCATGCTGTTCCTACTAAAGGAAATAGAGAAACATCTCACTGACTTTAAATGAGGCAGCTAGCTTATCTCTACCTTGACACTGAAAGCACAAATACAGAAAGCATTGCTCAAGATAGTACAACCTGGATAATGACAGTAGTGAAATGGCAAGAAAGTCTCTAACACAAGCTGTGCCATGCATCTCCTGTCACTGCGGGTGGTCGCCAGCCCTCAGAATCAGCAA